ATAGTTTTAAAACCGACCGCCTGACGTCAACCCTCTTTGGGGGAAGCGGAAGGGATTGTTAGTAATGAAGACTGAGAATCCCATTGCTAGCAATATACCCAACCAGGTCGACCTCCTCGCGGTTCTCCCTGGAAACTATCATGGTTAATTCTTGTTGAATTCATCATGATGGGCTAACTGGCCTGTTTTCATTCTCATCTATCACCCTTCACTGGTGCTCCGCCAGCGTATCCCGTTAGCGCAGGCGGGGTTACCATACCATTTTCACCCATCAAAACCCTCCTTTGGGAGTTTATATTTTATTATTTTATTAATTGTTTAATTTAATTTATATATAACTAACTACACATAATAAATATTCCACTGTTTTAACCGACTTCAAAAAAGGAGGTTCTCAATTCGATTGTATTTTTTTTTATATTTGTTACTTCATAACTCCGTTAGTTCTTAACCGATTTGGAATGTTCTTTTTTTATCTGGAAATATATATTTACAGATGGGTCCTGTAAAAATTTTACCAAAATAAGTTAGTTAGTAAGTTAATTTAGTTTTTAGATCAAAAAAACTTTAGGTTTGTCACAATTGATGACGGTTTTTTTTTATGGGACAGAATCTTGAATTATTCCATTTACAATCGAGAAAAAAAATCTTTGAAATTAAAGGTTCGAATTGAAGAGTTCTTTTAGTACATACAAACATATCTGTCACGCCTGTCTCCCATTAGGATAGGCAGAAACAATGCAACGCCAAATGCTTCGATTCAAACAAACCTCTTTCGCTTCTTCCATATTTATCAATCTAATCTATCATTTATATATATATATATATATATATATATATATATATATATATATATATATATATATATATATATATATATATATATATATATATAGCCCGCAAATATAAATAATTTTCCCCATTTTTGCATCATTTTTCCTTATATAGCCTAAAGTCTTCCCAGATAAATGGACTATCCAACACAGTAAGAATTTTTCAATCCGAACTAGTAGTTCCTAAGATTAGCGCGTTCAAACAAACAAACTCTTTAGTTTTATAATATCACTAGCGGCCCGTCCCTGCGTCGCACGGGTGGACATTTTTACATTTTAAAAAGTGGCCATTAAGCTTGCACACGCGACGGAAGCTTAGAAATGGAGTTACTTCTCCCGTTTACCCAACATTTCCCTTCACTGCTCTGCTCCTATTGATCGTAGCGTGATGAAAAGTATACTATAACCTGCCCAGGAGTATGAAGAATAATTGTACCAAGTTACGTTAAAATCCGTCGAGTAGTTTTTGTTTCTATAACAAACATACAAAAATTTTACTGATTGCATTTTTGGCATCAGTATCGATCACTAATCACCGCCTGATAGTTATTTTGTAAATATATTTCATGTACAGAATTGACCTCTCTACAGATTTATTATAAGTATAGATAGATTATAGATAATATTTAAAACATATCGGATATTCCATTAACCTGTTCTAAGTTGTTTCAATCACCACGCAGATTTTGTAAGCGACTTGTCTGAACAAAATTTTTGCCTATCGAACCGGTTTACACCGGTTACCTTATAAATATGTAACATAGAAAGTTAATTAGTGATTCCGACGATATTTCTTGCGAGTCAATATGCCTATATTTTTTTTTCCTCATTGCCTACTTGCCGAACTAGATTTTAGGGTCAAAAAATTAATGTGTACAATTAAATGTTAGATTACCTTAGGTAGAACATCGAGCTTCAAAAACGGGTCAACTTTTTGTCAGCTAATTGTCAAATTAGCTGACTCGTTGTTTTTATCAGTGTTCTATATACTTACGCATACAATGTATTTTGATGTATTATTTAATAAATAAAATGAGTGTTCACGCATTAAATAGATGCAGAATTTATAAGACAAAATAAATATAGAAGTTATAAAGGAATCACTCACAACTACATATTTATCACGCAAAATTGTATGAAAAAGTTGACACGTTTTTCTCGAAGCATTTCTATGGAGACACTCTATCTATAATAAGCTAAGAATTAAAAAAACAAATTTTGCTTTGTAAAGAAATTGCTAAAGTAAAATCTCGATTATTCGAACATCGATTATCCAAAAATTCGATTAACCGGACGAGACTGGAATCGGATCTCATACAGTCGTTACAAGTGTAGCGTATGAGGGACTAAGCTGCAAATAAAAAATGCGATGTAATACGTTAAAGATTATTAACAAATTATTGGACGAGAAATATAAGTCACCTATAATTGGGCATTTCATTCTGACGCTGATCTAGTCGTCGCTCACATTTGAGTGGATTGTTTTAGTTTTTTTTTTTATTGGGTGAAAATGGTATGGCAACCCCGCCTGCGCTAACGGGATACGCTGGCGGACCACCAGTGAAGGGTGATAGATGAGAATGAAAACAGGCCAGTTAGCCCATCATGATGAATTCATCGGGAATTTACCATGATAGTTTCCAGGGAGAACCGCGAGGAGGTCGACCTGATTTGGTATATTGCTAGCAATGGGATTCTCAATCTCCATTACTAACAATCCCTTTCCCCCCGAATTGTTTTAGTTGACTGTACACTTTGTTTTCTTTTTTTTTACTAACGTATTTTATAAAGAAGTTAAAGAAAAAAAAAGTTAATTAAAAAAATTCATTATTATTATTATTATTTCCAATTAAAAGCTGATATCACGATCGGGACTTCTACTATATGTATGACAGTATTATTGTTTGCCATTCACCAATAGATGAAGCTATGTTTAAAATTGCAGTAAATGTAAAACGTAAACTTCTTTCTAACACGATTAAACTATTATATTCGGAATTGCTCATCGTTCTCGTCTCCCTTCCACTTTCCCCTATACCATATTTCATAATAATCGGTTATGTCGTTAAGACGTAAACAGGTAACAAACAAACACACTTTCACATTCATGTTATTAGTGAGGATTTTTTTTATTATTATTTGAGTCATACCAGAGACTTTGTACAAAAGTCGATTGCTTGGGTACCTCTGTCCCATTCGTGTTTCAACCGTGAAGCAGTTGTGTTTGCATGGCTGTGTTTCGGTTTGAAGGGTGGGATATGGCGTGAATTTACATGGTACAGAGGAATAACACCTGAGTCCTCAGGAATGGCAACGCACGTTAAAACATCAAAGCCTAATTGCGGTTACCAACTCGTTTGCTAAGCGTGGCAACTACTGGCAAAACTCCTTTTACGTATGGGGAAGGCCTATGTCCAGCAGTGGACAGTTAACGACTTTTTTTAATACAACTTATAATGGCAAACAAGCTGACGGACCACCTGATGGAAAGTGGTAACCATCGCCTATAGATATGAGCAGTACCGTGGACATAACAGAGTATACTGTTTCGCCCATGATACCCGCCATGCGTTGCCACTCCTAAGGACTCGGGTGTTATTCCTCTGTACCCTGTAAATTCACGCCATATCCCACCCTTCAAACCGAAACACAGCCATGCAAACACAACTGCTTCATGGTAGAAACACGAATGGGACAGAGGTAGCCAAGCAATCGACTTTTGTACAGTCTCCTTATGTTTATTTGTTTGTTACTTTATAGCGCCAACTGCTTAACCCATCACTATAAAATTTGTTATACTCACACTATATGAAATTTAGAAGGATATATATTATAATAAGATATGAAAGGATATTTTGAATCTTCCTTTTAATAAGTTTAAAACTTATTAAAAACAACACTTATTGTACAAAGCCTGTTACACTCTAAACGATTACTTTAACGACAAGCGTGCACGGTGTTAGTGGATCATGCGCGGGCTTTAGACGACCATGTAACTTTAGACATAGTACATTTAAATAAATACATACATAATGTTAACAGAGATTTAAAAGAGTGACTGTTGAGTCTCTCGCGGGCTCATCTCAATAGATAACCTTTACGAACCCTGCGCATTCGTAAAGGAATGACGATTTAAAACGTGCTTGTAAACAAGTCTATTTGAAGAGAGATGATTCGAATTTAAATTTATAGACTACTTTATACCATAATTAACAATCTATAGTACTTAAGACATCAATAGAAATTCATGGGATACTATTGAAAGTAGTGATTCTATTCGAAAAAAAACCATAAAATAAACGACATGGGAATCTTAAACAACTTAGTCAAGATTAAATCACTTTCACTAAGCAATTGTTTTAGCAAATGGTAAAACTATGGGAAAGTACTTTTTTGATGGGTGAAAATGGTATGGTATCCCCGCCTGCGCTAACGAGATACGCTGGCGGAGCACCAGTGAAGGGTGATAGATGAGAATGAAAACAGGCCAGTAAGCCCATCATGATGAATTCATCAGGAATTAACCATGATAGTTTCTAGGGAGAACCGCGAGGATGTTGACCTGGTTGGGTATATTACTAGCAATGGGATTCTCAGTCTCCTTTATTAACAATCCCTTTCCTCCCTGTGGGAAAGTACTGTATACATAAACAAATAACAACTATATATTGATATATGTTAATTTACTATCAAAGAAGGTCGGTTATGGGATAGATAGAAAAAACTATTTTTTAATGGGTGATAATGGAATGGTAACCCGGCCAGCGCTATTAGTATACGCTGGTGGAACATCAGTGAGGGATGATAGGTGAGAATGAAAAGGCAGGTCAGTTAGCCCATCGTGATGAATACACCTGGAATTCAGCACGACGGTTTCAAGGAGGAACCACGGGGAGGTCGACCAGACAGGGTATATCGTTATCAATGGGACTGGTAGTCATGTCAGATCGACCTCCATGGAAACCGTCGTGAGTTTTCTGGTGAATTCGTCACGACAGGCCAACTGACCTGCCTTCATCCTCACCTGCTGTCTCTCACCAGTGGTGCTCCAGCGTATACCGATAGCGTAGTTGGGGCTACCATGACCTTATCATTCTTTAAAAAGAGCTTCACTGTGAATACATTGGGTAATATGGGTACATTAACAAACTTTTACATTTGTTACAGAGGATGCCGATGCAGAAGTTAGGACGTCAGGAAGGTCGATTGAGGAGATGCCTTCCAAGATAGGGAGACAAGTGGAGGAGTCGCTGTTCTCTATAGGGGAGGCCATTGAAGTTGGAATAGCAAGGTACAAAATTATATATATATATATATATATATATATATATATATATATATATATATATATATATATATATATATATATATAATGAATAAATACGTAAACAAAAAAACAGGCCACCCCTTTATTTCTTGTGGGTCTAGTAAGAGGCGACTAAAGGAATTTATAGTAGAGGAAGTTGCCACGCTTGGCAGGTGGATTGGCAAAACACCCCAATAGTGGAAGGCCTATGTTCAGATGATAATAATGTACATTTCGTAATTCCATCTAATTTTCTTTTTTTTTTTTGTAATATTTGGGAATGACACATTTTTTTTTTTATACAACTTAGAATGGCAAACAAGCTGACGGCCCACCTGATGGAAAGTGGTAACGTCGCCTATAGACATGAGCGGTACTATGAACATAACAGAGTATACTGTTTCGCCCATGATACCTCCCATGCGTTGCCATTCCTGAGGACTCAGGTGTTATTCCTCTGTACCCTGTAAATTTACGCCACATCCCACCGTTCAAACCGAAACACAGCCATGCAAACACAACTGCTTCACGGTAGAAACACGAATGGGATATAGGTACTCAAGCAATCAACTTTTGTACAATGTCTCCCTCTGGTAATGAAATTAAATTAAATTAAATTAGTGTTTTGGCAAACACTTTTATATAAATTAAGAATTACTACACTAGGCATGCAATCGCGTGTATCGTGTAATAAAGTAAAATGAGTTTAGAAAACTAAAGTAAGTCCCTAAGGACAATGGCACACTTACCCCATTCAGTATTATATTATCTGTACTCTAGTTCCAAAATGGTCCGCCATAACAAAATGGCGATGTCATCGATCATACTTGTTTACAATACACTCGTTCACCAAATGTAAATCACTCGCGGATCCGCCAGTGAAATCCGAATTTGACTTTACATAATAGCACAACTGATATCTAATTTATATATGTATATATTTGCATGCCATTTGATGTGGTGAAACGTAACGGACATCTTGTAAATTTAACAATTGCAACATCTTATCTACAATTTTTCTGGCAAAAAAATTTCATTTCATTTTATTACAAATATGAAAATCGAAAAATTTATAGGATGTTTGGATTGTTTTTTTTTTTTTCTTTTATGCAACTTAGAATGGCAAACAAGCTGACGGCCCACCTGATGGAACGTGGTAACCGTCGCCTATAGATATGAGCAGTACCATGCACATAACAGAGTATACTGTTTCGCCCATGATACCTCCCATGCGTTGCCATTCCTGAGGACTCAGACGTTATTCCTCTGTACCCTGTAAATTCACGCCATATCCCACCCTTCAAACCGAAACACAGCCATGCAAACACAACTGTTTCACGATAGAAACACGAATGGGATAGAGGTACCCAAGCAATCGACTTTTGTACAAAGTCTCCCTCTTGTTTCTACATACTATACGAGTATGCGTTCAGACTGTGAAATGAGCTCTGCTAGGGTTTTCCGTACACACTACAGTATGGGTTTCTTCAAAAACAGTGTATTAAGGTTCCTTAAGGGTGGACAACGCGCACGTGCCTCCCCTAGTGTCGCAGACGTCCATAGGCTACAGTGACCGTTTACCATCAGACAGGCTGTATGCATGTTTGCCACCTTCGTGGTATAAAAAAAAATAGATGAATCTCATTTAGAGATCGTTTCTATAATAATTTCAACAATACTTGGTTCCTTTTCAATCGAGTCCTAAAAGAAGGAAGTTTTAAATTCGATCGTATTTTTTTTATGTTTGTCACCTCATAACTCCGTCAGTTGTGGACCGATTTGGAAAATTCGTTTTTTTTATCTGAAAGGATATACTTACAGATTGGTTCCGTGGAAATTTGCAGTTGTGTTTGCATAGCTGTGTTTCGGTTTGAAGGGTGGGATATGGCGTGAATTTACTGGGTACAGAGGAATAACACCTGAGTCCTCAGGAATGGCAACGCATGGGGGATACCCCCCATGCGTTGAAACAATATATTCTGTTATGTCCATGATAGTGCTCATGTCTATAGGCGACGGTTACCACTTTCCAACAGGTGGGCCGTCAGCTTGTTTGCCATTCTAAGTTGTATAAAAAAAAAAATTTTAAAGATGGTTTTTTCGTGGAACCCAGTCATCATTCTATGGATAGAATCAATGAAAATACTAAGGTCAAAGTACCCATACAAATGTAAAATTACCTTGAACATAAATAAATTTATAAGAATAACTGTTGAATTTCTTGCGTGTACTTCTCAGCACATAACGACATTACGATTAGAGAGTGAATCATTGAAATCGATTTAAAATTGGCAAAAATATCACATTATACTTACTTGTATAGAAAAATACTGCTATTCGTGTCTGTCGGCGACAGTTACCACTTTCTATCAGGTGAGTCGCCAGCTCGTTTGCCATTTTAAACAAAAGAAACGCAAATTAAAAAACGTATCCTTTTAAAAAGTGTAATTATTAAAAGTAAAGAAATAATGACACGTGATTTAATATCTCCGTCAATTAACCTCCTTTTCAGCGCTATCGGTTAAATTAATACCAATTTTTGGAAATTTAATTACACTGGCTCCACCCAGTATGCGAATGCCCTTAAAATAATAACCTGAATTTCGAAAACTCAACAAGGTATTTCCATCTCTTTCCTTCTTAGCGACACGCCAAAAAAGGAAGGGAGAAAGCAGGATATGAATCAGTGAAACTTTTGTATGTATTAACACATACCAATATACATACATACATGTTGTGTGAGATTTGTACAATCTATGTATGAAAGTTGAACGTACGATTTGCGAAAAACCACAGGGAGACTTTGTACAAAAGTCGTTCGCTTGGCCACCTCTGTCCTATTCGGGTTTCTACCATGAAGCAATTATGTTTGCATAGCTGTATTTCGGTTTGAAGGGTGGGATATGGCGTAAATTTACAGGGTACAGAGGAATAACACCTGAGTCCTCAGGAATGGCAACGCGTGGGGGTATCATGGGCGAAACAGTATACTCTGTTATGTCCATGGTACTGCTCATGTCTATAGGCGACAGTTACCACTTTCCATCAGGTGGGCCGTCAGCTTGTTTGCCATTCTAAGTTGTATAAAAAAAGAAGATTGACCACCACTAGAACTTCTGCTAGTAATAGTGGTGGTCAGTCTTCGAGTGTTGGCAGTCGCACGCATACTGATGGTAGCGAAATTAAACAAAATAATTCTAATTAAATAGGTTATTTGTTTATTTAGTTTATTTGGAATAACAACAAGTGTTTTACATAATTACACATACTTTTACATAATTTTGAATGATGAAAATGGTATGGTAACCCCGCCTGCGCTAACGGGATAAGCTGGCGGAGCACCAGTGAAGGGTGATAGATGAGAATGAAAACAGGCCAGTTAGCCCATCATGGTGAATTCATCAGGAATTAACCATGATAGTTTCCAGGGGGAACCGCGAGGAGGTCGACCTGGTTGAGTATATTGCTAGCAATGGGATTCTCAGTCTCCATTACTAACAATCCCTTTCCCCCCAATTTATATTGTTGATTTTTCTATTTTTAAAATCCGCGTGCATGAGGCAACGGACAAACGGCTACTAACATACAAAAAAAATGTTATTTTCTAACCAGCACGCTGACGAGCCGTGCGGTCCCGGCATAGATTAGGCCACCCCTTCCTTTCCCGTGGGTGTCGTAAGAGGCGACTAAAGGATGGGCAGCAGCGTCCCTCTTAAAATATCAAAGCCAAACTGCGGTTGCCAACCCGCCTGCCAAGCATGGCGACTACTACTTACTGCCAAAACCCCCAAGGGAGAGGCGTAAGTCCAGCAGTGGACAGTTAACAGCTGATAGAATACATTACGTGGACAAAATAACTTGAAAAATGTCTTAATAAATCACTACAGTAAGCAATTAGACTGCATACTCGCTCACTACTCACACGCCGTGAGTTAGTATTTAAACCGGCCATCGAACCGGTGACCCGAAGTACCAAGCTCGCACCTTGCACTTTCACCGGCCGCGATCTGCTTCACATATATTCTTATAAATAAAAGCGAATTTAAAATGTATTTGTTTGTTTGTAACACTTTATTTTCCTAACTAGTCGTTTCCCGCAGCGTTGCTCGCTTCTAACTATACAGTTCCCGTATATTTACCAGAGGGAGACTTTGTACAAAAGTCGATTGCTTGGATACCTCTGTCCCATTCGTGTTTCAACCATGAAGCAGTTGTGTCTGCATGGCTGTGTTTCGGTTTGAAGAGTGGGATATGGCGTTAATTTACAGGGTACAGAGGAATAACACCCGAGTCTTCAGCAATGGTAATGCATGGGGGGTATCATGGGCGAAACAGTATACTCTGTTATGTCCATGGTACTGCTCATGTCCATAGGCGACGGTTACCACTTTCCATCAAGTGGGCCGTCAGCTTGTTTGCCATTCTAAGTTGTATAAAAAAAATATCATTCCCATTGGAACTCCCCATGAGTCCGGTCTTATATTGTATTATATACTTAAACGATAGTTACGTACCTAATACCTTCATAAAGTGTCAGCCAATTCAACTGATCGGTTATTTTATAGCATTTTATATGTGACTCTTTAGATTGATATAACTTTTTAATTTATGAACCGATTGAAATAAAACAAACACTAAATGTTAAGTGGCGTAAACTGCAATGCATTAGTTAAAACCGCGTTCAAATCGGTTAAGCTGTTAAAATTAAAATTACCACCTCATGGGCGACACAGTATACTTTGTGTTCCACAAAAACAAAACTATAACCCATACAAATTATAATTGAATGACTTGTGTTATAACACCTAATCACCTAGAGGTAACAAACATAAAAAAAAATATACAACCGAATGGGAACCTTCTTTTCTGAAGTCGGTCGAGAAGCGACAGAGTTATCTCAAAAATCGAGTTCGACTACACAATTAAATTAAGTTTTAGAGCAGTGGGTTCAAATACACTGGTGTTTAACCGTTAAGCAAACGACAGACAGCAGTCTCGTGAACGGGCAAATATTTACACGGTAGGTGCGGATTCTATTCCGGAAAGTGGCGGGAAAATAATTTGTTGTATGTTCAATTTTTCAAGAGAAAGTGAAATTTACGAATGAGTTGTGAAATTTCACGATGACCGTGTAAATTTCCGTTTTTAACCGATCTCTAAAAGTGGAGGTTCGATTTTTGTGTGCATTTTTTTCTATGCAACTTAGAATGGCAAACAAGCTGTCGGTACACCTGATGGTGAGTGGTAACCGTCGCCTATAGACGTGAGCAGTACCATGGACATAACAGAGTATACTGTTTCGCCCATGATACCCCCCATGCGTTGCCATTCCTGAGGACTCAGGTGTTATTCCTCTGTACCCTGTAAATTCACGCCATATCCCACCCTTCAAAGCGAAACACAGCCATGCAAACACAACTGCTTCACGGTAGAAACACGAATGGGACAGAGGTACCCAAGCAAACGACTTTTGTACAAAGTCTCCCTCCGGTGTATGCATATCTTTGCTAACTGAACTGTGTACCGGATACGTTTTGACGTTTTTGCCAGTAGTTACCACGCTTGGCAGGCGGATTGGCAACCGCAGTTAGAATTTGGAGATGTTTTAAAAGGGATCTACTGTCCATCCCTCGCCCTCCCTTAATCAGTTCTTACGACACCCACGGGAGAGGAAGGGGTGGCCTATTCTATGCCGGGACCACACGGGGTAATATATTTAGTCATATCAGCCTTTAGCTCTCCACTGTTGAACATAAGCCTCCCCTTGGGGGGATTTTGCCAGTGGTTGCCACGCTTGGCAGGCGGATTGGCAACCGCAGTTAGGCTTTGGTGATGTTTTAAGTCTCTCTTGCCCCTCTGTTGCCCATCTCTCGCCCTCCCTTAGTCGCCTCTTACGACACCCACGGGAAAGGAAGGGGTGGCCTATTCTACGCCGGGACTACACGACCATGTGGCGGATTGATAAAATTAAATAAAATAATAAAATATATTTAATAGTATTTTAATTCTATATTATTTCATCAACAGGGCGATGAGCAGAAAGAAGCACGAAGGCGGCATCGACAGCATCACCATCTCCACCGGCATGCAAGAGAAGAAGAAGAAAAAGAAGCCGAAACCACCCAAAATCCACCTGGTCCACCCAGCGATGATGGCAATGAAGAAAGACGAGAAAGGTCGAGGATTCCCCGGCAGAATACAGTCCTGGGTTATCGGTGATCAGCTCAGGAATGCCCCCGCTCGAACAGAAGGAATGGCTTCCGTAGACAATTCTGCTGTGACAGCATTTAATTCTTCTCGAAAAGCACGCAATGTAGTTGATAAATTACAGAACGATTCCGCTGAGAATAATGGAATGGCTAGTGTTGAAAATTCTTCTATGGTGCAAGACGCTTCTGCCAGAAAAGCACGTAATATGTTCAGTCAAATGATGGGTATGAAGAGCGGTGATAAAATGATGGATGCCATTCGTGATTTTGCAATGAACATCGATGACAATGATGATGCAATGTCTTTCTTTAATAACGGCAATATGAATTCAGCTGGAGGTTGGTGGTGGTTGCATTTTGGTTTCGTAGTTAGTGTTAAAAAGAGAAACATACGCTGTCTTATCACAAAAAAAAATTAACACACGACAAAAAATTATTCAATACATATTTTAAAAAGAGCTATTAACATATATTTATGTCTAGAAAAAGTCTGTTCTATTGAAATGATTAAGTACTTGATACTCAGACATGGTACTGCTCATGTCTATAGGCGACGGTACCGTCGTCTTGTTTGCCATTCTAAGTTGTATAAAAAAAAAAATACTTTATTTATTTATTTATACTTTATTGTACACAAAAATTACATCGTTATAATGTATATTAAATGAAGATGTACAACAGGCGAGCTTAACTCTGTAAGTGTTCTCTTCCAGCAAACCCTGAGTGGAAAGGAGCATTAATTACCATTTATTTATATTTATTTATTTATATTATAAATAATAATCTTATTTAATCTATAAACAATAATAACATATCTAGTCCTGACTTCCAAACTAGCGTTAACTGTATGTCAGGAGCCAGTTTCAATTTAGTTATAGTTGTTTACAGTTATACTTTATATATAGGGAAACTTTGTACAAAAGTCGTTTGCTTGGCTACCTCTGTCCCATTCGTGTTTCTACCGTGAAGCAGTTGTGTTTGCATGGCTGTGTTTCGGTTTGAAGGGTGGGATATGGCGTGAATTTACTGGGTACAGAGCAATAACACCCGAGTACTCAGGAATGGCAACGCATGGGGGGTATCGTGGGCGAAACGGTATACTCTGTTATGTCCGTGGTACTGCTCATGTCTATAGGCGACGGTTACCACTTTCCATCAGGTGGGCCGTCAGCTTGTTTGCCATTCTAAGTTGTATAAAAAAAATACAGAGGTACATCACATAATAATATTAAAAAAAAAAACAACAATTTTCTGGTGTCTAATATGTATGCAATTGTGTTTGTATGTGTGTGTGTATGATACAGTTTTATATGTATAGATTAGTATGCTAGAAAGCTGGCTGCTTTTTGCACATACTGGCTCGCCTTTCTCGTAATTTATTACTGAATATATTAATTCAAGTAATAAATTTTACCACAATAGTTTATACATTTTGAAACATAAAATTACATCGACTAAATAATATTTAATCATATATATGTATATGTATTATTGTATACAGATATGTATGTATTTTGATTTTAATTGTATGACTTACTTATATATGTCAACATATTTATTATTTTTTAATTGAACCATCTATAATGTTTCCTTCTATTATTGTACGCACACTGCCCGCTAGTAATTAACGCTCCTTTCCACTCAGGGTTTGCTGGAAGAGAACTCTCTTACAGAGTTAAGCTCGCCTGTTGTACATCTTTATTTTATATATATATATATATATATATATACTATATTTTGTAATTTTTTGTGTACAATAAAGAATAAATAAATAATCACTTAGTACAGTTTTGTTACAATCTGCTCAAATAAACAGATAGTGTTTTTTTTTTTTTTTGTGATAAGACCGTTAGAGATAAATTATGGATACAATAAACAGTTAGTTAACAGGTGAAATTAAATTTTTAGTGATATTTCACAAGTAGTATGTGAAATTACATATTAAACATAGTAATTCACATCTGCTAGGCGATTTTTGTTTCCTACTATAAATAGCAATGTGAAAAATTACAAATAGATACTGCGTTTCAATTAAATCGTGATTTATTAAGAGTGTGCAGTTAATGATACAAAGTGATATTAAATCACAGTCTGTTATTTGATTTGATTTAGTAGATGAGTTAACTCAAGAAATATAGAAGAAAGGATTCATAATAATTCTAATACTAGGTATTTTTTAATATACTTACCTAGTATACTGACAACAATATACATACTTCATTTTCAATAGCAAAAAGTAGCAGATGTGATATTAAATTAATGCATTTCTAAATCTACCAGAGGGAGACTTTGTACAAAAGTCGATTGCTTTGGTACCTCTGTCTCTCATTCGTGTTTCAACCGTGAAGCAGTTGTGTTTGCATGGCTGTGTTTCGGTTTGAAGGGTGGGATATGGCGTGAATTTACTGGGTACAGAGGAATAACACCTGAGTCCTCAGGAATGGCAACGCATGGGGGGTATCGTGGGCGAAACAGTATACTCTGTTATGTGCATGGTACTGCTCATGTGTATAGGCGACGGTTACCACTTTCCATCAGGTGAGCCGTCAGCTTGTTTGCCATTCTAAGTTGTATAAAAAAAAATCACAGCTTTTGAAATTTCACCTGTGAAATCTGTTAATGAAAAATAACATCTCAAATTAAATTGAATTAAAATTCGATTCGAACTAAATTAATATTCTCTAATTGGCCTTTTTTTCTAAATTAACCATTCAGTAACTATTAATACTCAATTTTGTATCACACTTGATATTTTTTTTTTTATTATTTTCTCATTTTGCAGAAAATAATATGCAATTTGTTCCGATTTAGGTAAATATATACTTTTTATAAGCATCTTGCGCGCATGACTGCATGAATTATTATATTTTGCATGATGTCGAAACAAACATACAGACGGACAGATTTTTTTTTAATTATTATATTCATTTCTTTTGCTCTTGTTACGACGCATCGTATTCTTTATCTTTACCAGAGACTTTGTACAAAAATCCTTTGCTTGGCCACCTCTGCCCCGTTCGTGTTTCTACCGTGAAGCAGTTGTTTGCATGGCTGTGTTTCAGTTTAAAGGGTGAGGCGAGGTACGGCAGTGAATTTACAGGGTACAAAGGAATAACACCTGAGTCCTCAGGAATGGCAGCGCATGGGGGGTATCATGGGCGAAACAGTATACTCTGTTATGTCCATGGTACTGCTCATGTGTATAGGCGACGGTTACCACTTTCCATCAGGTGGGCCGTCAGCTTGTTTGCCATTTTAAGTTACATAAAAAAGTTACAGTTTTATTATATTAGTAGTTTAAGATCAAGGAATTATTTTGGGTCCAAAATAAAATATCAAACTATCTGTCCACCTTTGAGGCTTGTTAAAAATTTTACACATGACAAGATACCGCTTCTATGAAACAGTATGGACAGAGTTTCTAGTAGATTTAAAACATTTATGACTAATGTATAGCATTGTATGTATAATGCATGGTGTTGTATTGAATGTAATCACCGTATAGTTACGGTACTATAGACAGCTAAGTGTCATGCGGTGATAAATTTATTTTATAATAGCCCACGTCTATGAAAGTAAGACAATTTAATTGGTCGAGGGATGGACAGCAGCGTCCCTCTTAAAATATCACCAATGTCGAATCACGGTTGCCAACCCGCCTGCCAAGCGTGGCAACTACTGGCAATACACCCCAATAGAGGTGATACTAAAAATTTTGCACCTAATTCAAATTATACTTCCGAAGATTTCAAATACCTTTTTTGCCGTCAAAATTCAAAGTTTACGTGATAGATCATTTGGAATCTTTATCAGCCGACTTCAAAAAGAAATTCGAAATTGTATTTAATTTTTTTTTTGTGTTTTCTTTTTCTATCAGCCGTAAACTGTCCTCTGCTTAGCATAGTCTCGCACAGTTTCGGCTTATGGTGATTTTTTAAGAAGAATACTGCTGCCTATCCCTCCGCCATGAGCTCCCTTAGTCGCCTATTACGACACCCACGGTAAATGAAAGGGTGGCGTATTCTATGTCGGGACCTACATGGCTTTTTGTGTTTATTACCTCATAATACCGTCAGTTATAAACCGATTTGGAAAATTTATTTTCTAAAGGGATAAATTTACAAATTGATCCCATAAAAATTGTATCAAAAATGTAATTTAATTGTTCAAAATCAAAATTTATTTCAATTATGGTTAAACTTAACAAAAAAAAATTGTATAAATATATTTCTGAAACCTCAAATTCTAATATTAAATTCTAGAAAACAGAAGCAAAAAGAAGAAGAAAAGGAAGGCCATCCTCAAGCTACTGCTTCTGGGGGCGGTATTGAAAGCAAAAATCGGTACCATTCTCCAGATCTTGTCCTTTAAACTGCAGGTGAGTGGACTTCATACCATAAATACAGAATGTTATTTACCTTTGACTTCATACTATAAATACCATGTTACAATACGTAGAATGTAACTCGATCTCTGACTTCATGCCACAAATATCATGCTACAACACGCAGAATGTAACTTGCTTTTGACTTCATACCATAAATATCGTATTACAAAGCACAAAATGTAACCAGTCTTTGACTTCATACCACAAATATTATGCTACAACACGCAGAATGTAACTTGTTTTTATTTATCGTTTCATTTGATTTCTTTATCTTGATGTAATTAAACTAAAATTGTATATGTATTTAATATTATTTGAACTATTATCTATTTAATATTATAATTATAGGTAGTATATGCAACATTGATAACAAAATGATGTTTTTTTTTAAAGCAATTACCTATTTGTATGCTTATTGATTACTATCTGTGTGTTTGTATTTCATGTAAAGACGGCTGAACTGATTAAGAAGAATTTTTATGTTATCTTATATATAATAAAAAAAAAGTATCACCAAAATTGGTAAAAAGATATTATTTAAGTTCTATATTTCACAGTCAAGTACAATATTGACTCTATTAGATAATAGATGGCGTAAAACAGAGAAATGTTTATAAATACTGTACAATAATAATTAAACAAGTTATAACTATAGTTTTTTTTTTTTTTATATTATCAACAGGTCAAATTCTTCATCATTGCCCTTCTTGGCTTGGGTATCAACTTGGCACGACTCTGGATTGAGATAAAGAACAAGCACAAGGAACATCCACAGAAGGTAAGTCACTTATATGATTATTCCTTGTTTTTTACAACACAGGGGGCTCGTTTGCCACACGGCTCACCTGATGGTAAGTGACTACCGCCGCCCACGATCGTTGTACGATAATCTGTTTCAATGTTAGATTGAAAATATATCAATTGGCAAGTTAAAAGAGAAATATATATATGTTACTGGTCATGGCTGGAGAGAAGCCATGTGGTATATTTAAAAAAAGTTGACGAATTATTTTTACTTAACGTCGACAAACGATATCGTTTTTTGGGAGAATTATTTACAGAATGACATAATTTGTACTCTATTATTAATTAGCACATATATGTATGTATTAAATGTGATATACCTTGTACCCAATAATGATTTTGCACGCTTTAGAATATAAGGCGAACATTTGTACTTCACCTAATATATCAATATCTAAAAAAAAAAAAAACAATGTTCTCGCAAATAAAGAAATATTTTTTTTTTATTTTTTTTTTTTATTTAGTTATCATACATAATCTTAGATTTCTTTAGAAATTTAAATTTATTTCTTTTCTCTTAGAAAGAAAAAGAATGATTTGAATTCTTGCACACCATTCTTGTATTTCTTCATGTAATGTTTTATAACTATAATTTGTATATGTAAATAAATATAAAAAAAACACTAGTGGAACTATAGAAGTGGTGTCATTTTGGAGTACGTCGTCTAGTTACATCGAGATTAATATGTAAATCATCTACTACACAATATAAGCTCGAAAAGGATTTGGCGGGAATATGAAGAAAATTAATTCTGATTATTTTTACAGTTTAAAATGCGATTACTTTTGAGGGTAGTCGATTTTTTTCTTTGTTGGATGTAAATGGTACGGTAACCCCGCCTGCGCTAACGGGACACGCTGGCGGAGCACCAGTGAAGGGTGATAGATGAGAATGAAAACAGGCCAGTTAGTTAGTGATGAATTCATCTAGAATTAATCATGATAGTTTCCAGGGGGAACTGCGAGGAGGTCGACCTGGCTGGGTATATTGCTAGCAATGGGATTCTCAGCCTCCATTACTAACAATCCTTTTCCCTCCTAGTATAGTCATTTAGACTTTATAGTGTTTCATATACACAGATAATGTAAATTAGGGGTTGGGGGGGGGGGGGGGATTGAATACTTTCACATAATTACGCTTCGAACAATTTATTTCTTTATTTATTTAAACGCAATACTGTTAAACTATTAGAAATGTTTTGGACATGAATTAATTAGATAAATAACTAATTTAAAATTCAAATTTATTGTTATTTTTGCATATTCAATTACATATATATTCTGCTATCAAATGCACACATTTATATTAAACGCACACTAGCGTGACCATTTCCTTTCTGTTTTTGTCTCTTTCTTTCTCTCTCTTTCTCTTTCTTTCTTTCCTTCTTCCTTTCTTTATTTCATTATTTAATTTACAATAACCTCATTACATTCATTACCAGTTAATCTAATATTCAATTAAGTTAAAAACAGACTTCTCTCTTTTCTTTCATTCTCTCTTCCCCAAAATTTCACTCTCTCTCTTTAAATGAGATTTAAACTTAATCTTATACACGGATATCATCTAGTTACAATTGCATAATAAGTATACAAATGTATGTATGCATATTCGTATGTAGTCAATGACCTCACTGACTGGTCCACGTGACTTTCACCTTTGTACTTTTATGGATGACGTAAGCTGTACAGTCGTCATTACAATGTCAAGGTACAAGAACAATACTAGTGAGAATGGATAGGTGATGTATATCATTTAAAATTACCAAACTTGTTAAATCACTCTTAATGGAATGCAAATTGCATTATTAATGCAAATTTAATTGCATTTTGAGTCTCTTTGTGTTTTTTTCTTATTGCATACATTATGGGAATTGTTTAGAAGAATTGTTCGGATTAATACCAGCTATTGAATTCCATAACCGTGCAACCACCGTCGTTACCTTCAAAAATATAATATTATTAAATTATTTATTTATGTCTCCTCACAAACAACTTAAATAATACGGAACCAGAGGGAGACTTTGTACAAAAGTCGATTGCTTGGGTACCTCTGTCTCATTCGTGTTTCAACCGTGAAGCAGTTGTGTTTGCATGGCTGTGTTTCGGTTTGAAGGGTGGGATATGGCGTGAATTTACTGGGTACAGAGGAATAACATCTGCGTCCTCGGGAATGGCAACGCATGGGGGGTATCGTGGGCGAAACAGTATACTCTGTTATGTGCATGGTACTGCTCATGTGTATAGGCGACGGTTACCACTTTCCATCAGGTGGGCCGTCAGCTTGTTTGCCATTCTAAGTTGTATAAAAAAAAATCTCAAAAATAGATATCTGACCGATATGGGCGATATCGAAATGGCTGATGACCTTTTTACCGCCACCAATGTCCAGAGGAAACCGATATATAGATATCGAATCAGTATCCCTCGAAACCATCGTGCTGAATTTTTAGTGTATTCATCACGATGGGCTAACTGGCCTGCTTTTTTCATTCTTACCTATCACCCCTCACTAGTACCCCGCCAGCGTTAGCGCAGGCAGGGTAACCATTCTATTATCATCAATTAAAGAAAACCAAAGATCCTGGGGCAAAAATAAACTAGGGGCCCCTATATATTATAGTACGTACCAAATATCACAGTCCATGAATTAATCGTTTAATTGACAAATTAATTACACAGTACCACATTTAGTTTCGACCCTACAAAGAGATCAATGCCAGAAAACTTTTTTTTTATATGTATGATAATGAAATGGTAACCCCGCCTGCGCTAACGGTATACGCTGGCGAGGCACCAGTGAGGGATGATAGGTGACGATGAAAAGACAGGTCAGTTAGCCCATCGTGATAAATACACTTAGAATTCAGCACGATGGTTTCCAGGGGCGACCACGGGGAGGTCGACCTGTAAGGGTATATTGTTAGCAATGGGACTGATAATCCGCATTACTAACAATCCCTTTCCCCCCTACCAGAAAACATATTGTTATAAGTACTTATCAATCCGACAAATTAAGAATTTTTACCATAATTGATAGCATATAGGTTCGCCGTGTAAGTGCCGGCATAGAATAGGCCACTCCTTCCTTTCCCGTGGGTGTCGTAAGAGGCGACTAAGAAAGGGCGAGGGATGGACAGCAGCGTCCCTATTAAAACATCTCCAAAGCCTAACTACAGTTGCCAATCCGCCTGCCAAGCGTGGCAACTGCTGGCAAAATCCTCCTAATTATGGGGGAAGCCTATGGTCAGCAGTGAACAATGCGCTGATATCGTATGGTAGCATGATATGGTACATATAATAATCTCTCTTTCGGCACATAATCTCTAGCCTACGTCTGTATTCAAAATGACAGAATTTTCATCGTGCCTCCAGTCAAACTGTTTAATTACTCCTCTCCATCCAAAGGTTGCTTGCAAGAGATCGCTCTTAGCGATAAGGTCGCCCATTGTTTTCTCACTGTGATTATTTCTTGTAATTGTTTATATTTATAATGAGTTTACTATTGTAATCTTATGGAGGAAACAATGAAGAGTGTCTGTCTATCTATATGTCTAGAGCCTCAAAAATAGGTAATTGACCTATTTTTGAGGCTCTATCTATATAATCTAAGGATCTAGACACATAGATGTCTTGTCAGCTAATTTTCAAATTAGCTGACTCGTTTTTTTTATCAGTGTTCTATATACTTACGCATACAATGTATCTTGACGTGATATTTAGTAAATAAAATGAGTGTTTACGCATTAAAAAGATGCAGAATTTATAAGACAAAATAAATATAGAAGTTATAAAGGAAATCACTCGTAACTATTTGTCACGCGAAATTGTATGAAAAAGTTGACTTGTTTTTCTCGAAGCATTTGTATGGAGACACTCTATGTGTTTTTTTTTATACAACATAGAATAGCAATCAACAAAAGACATGAGCAGTACCATGGAAATAACAGAGTATACTGTTTCGCCCATGATACCCCCATGCGTTGCCATTCCTGAGGACTCGGGTGTTATTCCTCCGTACCCAGTAAATTCACGCCATACCCCACCCTTCAAACCGAAACATAGCCATGCAAACACAACTGCTTCACAGTTGAAACACGAATGGGACAAAGGTACCCAAGCAATCGACTTTTGTACAAAGTCTCCCTCTGGTATAATGTAAGATCTACATATATTATTTTTAATCAACTTGCCGTAGTTATTTCATTAAATACATATATATTTACTATACAGTTAATGACAGTTGATACGTCTGTCTGTGTAGTCATTGACTCATGACCCCCATTGGGGTCACAAGAACGCGTTTACACCTCGTAACCGGATGCAGTTGAGAAAGTGCATAGCGCATTAGGTGACGCGTGGCCTTTGTGGAGAATTACAGACGTAGATTAATACTCGTATTGCCGCGAGAGCATCTGTTCTCAACCGACTTTGAAAACGGCAGGTTTTGTTTATTAATTACACAAGCTTTTACTCGCGACTTCGTTCGTGTTATCGGTAGGTTTCAAAGATGTTCTAAGAGGGACGCTGCTGCCCATATCTTTTTTACAATTACAATATAAAATATAAATAACATATACAAAAAGTGTCCCATACTCGGCAAAAGGAACCGGCTCAGCTGATGCTGTGAGTGTCCCAACGCAATGTAAACAGCCGCACAGCACTGGTTTTTACATATACAAAAAGTGTCCCATACTCGGCAAAAGGAACGCGACCATGCGACCGCAACTATTTAATTATTTATTACTTTTTATCTATTACGAACCTCGTTTAATTACTTATTACTAGAAACATTAATGTACTGTTTGTTTCCCAAATAAAATAAAAAAAATACAAAATTAATTTATACTAGCGGTTGCCCTGTGGCATATATATATATATATATATATATATATATATATATATATATATATATATATATATATATATATATATATATAAATTACACTCAACAACAATTATTAAGTATAGATTTAC